AGTATACCGCTGTATCCATATAATTTATTAAGAAAATATGTCGTATTAGAAAAAGAAACTAAAGTAGTTGATACTTTTTGTACTATCTTAAAAATGTTAATGAGCTTTCTGCAAAATTGTTCTGTTCTAATTTCTACCGACAAAGGACTGATGACTCCGAAACTGCAAAATATGAAATATAGGTAATTTATACTTTGTTCGCACATTAGGTTTATTTTTACTACTCTAAATCATAGTAGGCGAATCCTTTTTACATCGTTGACGTCTTCATAACTTCCGCTCTAAGCTTTAACACTTGGAGAAGCGGAAATTAGCTTTGCAGTGTTGTCTACAATATAATCAAATACAGATCATTGATAGATTTTTACGTATTCTCCGAAAATCCACATAATGAAAGCAATTTTAGTGGTTTATGAGTACTTAATATTTTATATTCGTGTTGAATATGATCGAGAAGTAATAATAATAACAATCAGTATTCGTATTCATAAATACAGTGTATTCGCAATAATTCTAAAAAATTATCGTAAATAGTAAAAATTAATTAACTTTTAAAGATTTTTCAATTGTTGTTCATATCTAACTTTCCAGTCCTTTTCCAAGCTTTGGGTGTTTACAAAAAATAATAGCTTTGCAGAGTTAAGTAAAAGGTAGTTGAATAATGAATACTGATTACTGGATATTCGTATATTATTAAATAATCAAAATAAAAACACTATTCGTAGTTTATGGGTACTGAATATTTTGTATTCGATTAGATTAAATATGAATGTTAAATAACACTTGGTATTCTTATTTACGAATACAGTGTATTCGTAATCGTTATTCTGAGAAAGTTGTCAAAGATTTTTTAATTATTGCTGTTTTATCTCTAATTGCTTCTAATACTTATGCTACAATACAAAATAGAAATGCTTAGGTTTCTTTTGAGCTATTTTTCAAACCTTGAATGTTTATAAAAAAATATATTAGCTTTGCCATGTTGGATAAAATGTCATGATTACTGAATATACATATTAAGTAATCTCTGAAAATGTACATAATAGAAAAAAGTTTATTATATTTTGTATTCGTGCTTAAAAACAAAGTAACCCCAATAACGAATAAAGTGTATTCGTAATCATTATCCTGGAATAATATTATAAATACAAGATAATTCACTTTTAAAGATTTTATTAACTATTGCTGTTTTGTATCTAATTATTTTTAACTTTCTAAATATATCATCATATATCATGTTATAACTACGTATGGACATATCTACAATTCGTAAGTAATATTATTCAGTAAATTATTCATTAAATCCATATTGAATATTGAATAATGATTAGAAAAACTCGCGTAATAATTCATTCATGTTTTGGATAAATATTTGTATTAAAAAATAGCGTATTCATGAATACAAGTCACTCGAATATTGTCTGATTATGTGCTCAGCTAGCGCACCACCTCGAAGTCTTAGCTCCAATGTGGAATAGAGAGCACATCACATTTAACGATAAATAGGTTTGATGCACATCAATGCCTGATTAATTAAAATCTGCTTTTTTTAAGTCGGTATACCGCCACCAATTAAAATTATACGGGCGCGGTGATTTTATCCTCCCGTCCAGCGAATTTTATTTTAATGGGCGATAATTAACTTTTTACCGGGAGAGATAAACAATTTTTAGTGCCAATCATTTACGCATCAGTAGCGGATAATTATAGCTGGTAGCGGCCTGTTCATCATCCACCGGGAGGACTAGAAAAATGACCGGCTCTATAGCAGGCGCGGCGTTGTCAGATTTCCAGGAATATATGTCAAAAAAATCAAATGAATAGACACATTCAGTATCAAAGAACTTTCAGTTTCATATAACTCCAGATTGTCAAAATTATATTTCATTATTATTACAGCCTTTTTTCAGTTTCAAAATCATCGAATTATGAGGACAAGGAGAAGAAGAAGAAATTACAGAGATACTCCAGAAAAATGGCATTTTTTAAATTTTATTAGGTCGGTTAATGATAACCTTCAAATGTCTTATTAGAACTGGTTTTCAAAGATTTTCAATAAAATTTTATTCAATTTTAAGGCCAAAAACTTTTAGGGTATAGGTATATAGAAAACGCCTGCAATTAACATTTGTTTCTTTTATTTTATATATAGTAAAATGAGCACAATTTCAAATTTTCTATTAAATGTTCTTCTCAACGCATATTTGATAGATCAAATCAACGCTAATCATATCCCTTTTTACAGTACATACTTTTTTATTATTTTTGGAATGCTATTAAGCTAATTCTATTTCTGAAAATTTTCCTGAATTATCAAATAAAATTATCATATCTACAAGCTTTCAAAAAAATTATTCTTGTTTTTTATAGTTATATTTAACATCGCTTTGGGCAAAGATCAGCCACGATAAATTGATTCACTAGTTTCTGCATTTCAAGAATGGTGCTTCTTCTTCTTCTTTGAATAATTAGAATTATTGAGTAATTCGTTTAAAAAAGATCAAAGTACCAACTTAGAGATCTAGAAAGAGGTCTAGCAATATTTTAGCTCCTTTCATGTCTTTAGACTGGCGTATAACACTTCGAATTGGCAACGAGGCTCTTCGGCAGGCAGCAAGTCGGCCTTTCGTGTTCCGAGATCGTTACGAGATCATGTAGTCATTAAATGCGATGGTCGACATCCAATTATCCATATACTATGTGTACACAGCTATGAGCGGACATTATAAAACAATCAAACGGCTTAAGTGAATATATACTCCGGGAGGAACGAAAATAATTTCGCCCTAAATTGCGACCCGGTGCGGATCGTATGCGCGGAAGTTTTGTGTTTGTTTTATGAAATTTTAATTAAGAAATTAAAAAGATATTACTGCGAAATGTGCTGTGGATGTAGATGTATCCGATGGAGATGTGCAACTGCATTAACGAGACCTCAGAGTAATGAACATTCAACGAGTTGAGGTTGTATTTAATCAACTTTTAAAAGGATGGAGACAAAAGTAAAATGTCATTATCTCTTCAACTGGTCTCTATGGTTACAATAAACCTCACTTAACTATAGCCAATTTGCTAAAGCAGCAGATCTTATCAAAGAATGATGAATGTTTCAGTAGCAATTTGCAACATTTTTAAATTTTAATAAGCGGCAAGGACTTTATTATGTTTTCAGTCTTCCTTTCTCTTTTAGTACTACAAATCGTAGAAGCAGTTGCTACATATCCATCCAATTGTTTCTTAGCATATATCACCATTTCTGCGTGCGGCATCTTCTTGATTAATTCTTAAAACAAATCGTAATGTACCACCCCAAAATAAGACCTCGAGGAACCCATTTGAACTACAAAGGTCAATTTATCCCAATTCGTCACTCACTAATAGGGCAATGACTTTTGGGCAAGAAAGCTCCTTGCTTTATCGATTACTAAAGGTCTAAAAACTATCAGTTTTTTTATATGGACGTTTTAGAAACTTAGTGGCACTGATCGCTAACGCAATATGTCGCCAGCTGCCTTGTTACATCTTTATAGGCATGTTTCCGTATTTAAGGCAATCGCGGATTGCTGCGCCATCGACCAAATCGAAACGAAACAATGAAATTGATCATTTACGATCGCTGAGAAACCAATTAACTTCCATTCACCGTTAAGCAAATTACCCAACAATGGCGATCTGTATCTAAAGTTAGATCGCGCTGTACAACACTAGGGTATTGTAATCTAAGTATAGACATTTTTTTAAGTCGCCCGGAGCGGAAATTGGAAAAGTTTGAAGGAGGCCTGTTATTTACTTCTAAACATTGCAATCGAAAAAACTGACAAGAATATTTCTGGTCGTAACTGTTCAACAGATGCACCGATTGACACGAGCCAAGAACTGATTGAATGCTAAAAGTTGGCTGCATCTAACGCAGTACTTTAAAACTGAAGTATCCCGGAATCAATCCTTTGACCAGGCTTATATCTGATCTGGTCACAGATCGTGATACATCGTTAGGTTCGTCTAGATGAGATGATTTAAGAGCTTTCGAAATGGCCAAGATATAATAGGGGACCGCCTAGCCGGGTGTCTTGGCCGATGGATTTCGAGGGGACCGCCTAGCCGATTTCGATCGGCCGAGGTAAGCATCACGGACGCAGGCTGGAACTTGGATGGGTGACCTAAGGCAGGCTCGGGGCGTGGCTGTGGCAGCCTACCAGAGACCTGGGTCATTTTATCGGGTCCTCGATAAAATGGTAATGAGAATGGAAAAATAATCCCCCCCCCCCCCGGCATACATACATATATACAGACATGGTCAAGATATAACCCGATTCGTGAAATTTCGGACTTGATTTCATTAAAGCGACTAAATTGAAATTTATCGTTCTTCAAAATCGACTGGTTTGCAAGATGACCCACGTCTTGTAACTTCTTTCTTCTGGATGTGTGAAGATATACTCATAATTTTTAATGCCTAAAGAAATTATAGGTCAAAAGTACTATTAGTTTTTTAAACCCATTAACCAATTATTCTGTTGCTTTTCCAACTGCTATCGTACATCTAATATCAACTTCAGTATTGACAGAATGAGACCATGCCTTCCAGTAAAGTTAGTGTGATCGCCGAAGCGATATCCATAAAAAACATTTCATTTGCATACATTAACTGACAGTATAGATTTTGCGCGCGTACGTGTAATATGCGCTATATGTATGTAAATGGCGTTATGAGCGCGGGAGGAGAGAGACGCAGGCCGACCGGAAACAATCAGATAGGCGCGGGTCAGCGAAAGTTTCCGTTCCTATTGAAAATCAGCAATGTGTAACGATACAGCATCCGTTCGAAATAAACTTTTGTGCAATCACCTGATACAATGACACATTCTGCTTATTAACGTGACTCGAACGACAAATGGCCGCCATCGCTGTAAAATGTCATGAACCCTACGCTCTCACATTTTTTTCGTCACAGAAATAGGACGTGGTCAAAACCTAACGTTATTGCTTTTTTGTTCCAGATCCGAGACAGTGGACCGAAAACCACGTGGCCCATTGGCTGCAATGGGCCGCCAAAGAGTTCTCCCTGGACTGCATTCCACTGAACCAGTTCAGGATGAAGGGGAAGGACATCTGTGCCATGGGAAAGGACGCCTTCTCCGCGAGGGCGCCCGCCTTCGTCGGCGACATCTTGTGGGAACATTTGGAGCTTCTCCAGAAGGGTAAGGTCATCATTCACTTCAGTATGAATCCTTCCTAGGCAGATTTTTCATTAATCAAGTCTAGAAGCTTTAATTGTCTGTAGTTTAGAAATCACAATTTTCAATGATTCAATTAAGACAATTTTTCGTGACGGTGAACAAAACCGTAGTTAGACTTGTTACCGCCATTCTCACCTTGTTCCACAACAACATTAAGTATTAAAACGTGCGTCAAAATGTACAATATGCCCAGGAAAATAATAACCTGTACCACATCGTTACAGACAAATTATTTCTGTATAACCGTGACGTGCGAGTCTATAGCACGGTGCGCAGTTCTCATAATTAGAGATTATTTTACCATCTGTTTATACCATTGACACAGTGAATTACAATGTCTGTTCGGAAAAATTGCAGTCGTTTTTAAAACAATATTTAATGAACGTAGCCAATTATCAAAGCAGCTGCACAAGTTGGCAACCCGTTGGAGTGACTTAATCACTATATTAAATATTTATTTGAAAGTACACTTCTTTATTAGGTATAAGCTAACAAAAATAAAAACGTTGCCAATTGTCTGCCTCGACCAACATAGTACTGAAGTATTTCGTCACTAAAGATCTTATCTCTACTTTCAGTTGACCATTTTAAAATGGGAACACATTTAGCATCACAATCACCCTCAATAATTATGTTCTGTTATGAATTAAAATAGAACTTACAATCCAGTCTCAAGTCTAAATGAACGAAGCAATCTTGATCTCTTTTGAAAAACCATTTCATATTGTTCCAGATCTGGAGAAAGAGCGGGCCATGAACAATTCCGTGGTGTCGAATAACATGTACGAACCCATGTGTGTGCCAGAACTTGGTGCTTACATCGACTACACCCAAGCACCAACGGTGCTTTCTGGAGACGATAGGAAATCGGTGCCGGTGTCGTCGATCACGAATCCCGCAGGGACGCCAACAGCGCCCCAGTCCACGAATAACAATTTTTTACACGAAGGTAAGTCACTTTCATCACAACAAACGAAACTGCATTTGCATATAAAGAAATTTGGTTTATTACAAAGTTTAACAACTTCTTGAGACTTAATCAAGGGATATTAGGTCGGGAAAACCTGGCAGCCCCTCTATAAAAAGGCTACTCTAGGGAAAGTGAATCTGAAAGTAATGAGTACAATTTATAATTTGGTGCAATGCTTTAAAGTTACAAAAATGTTCATTATACAAAAATTATTACTTTAAGTTTCCTAACAATAAATTGAAGCTTACTTAATGCCAGCTGACATTGCAACTACAATATGTGTTATGGACATTACCCGGGAACATAACCATTTACAGCAGTTATTATAAGCATATAGTTAACGAAAAGATGATATCGCTCGTCTATATACATGTAGAGTTATTAATAGAATTTCGCAATTAAAAATCCTCGTTACGCCGAGTAAATCCGAAAGTTCTTGTGTTACCTAATTTAGGTTAATATGTTATACCTAAATGTGTGTAATTGTTGATGTGTGTGTGTGTGTGTGTTTGTCTTGGTAATTTGCCGTTTCAACTTGCAGTATTTTTGGGTGAATTTCGCTTTTATTACATATTCGAGGACTTTTTTCACACGTCGCTGCGCTCGTTCCATATTTTTCTTGTTTTGTAACGATAATTATACTAATTAGAATTAGATAATGAAACAGAAAATGAATAACTTGTTAGGAATAAACATAAATACAACATAAAATGTTATCTTGACTTAATTGCTTTTGGAATGGCCCTTACCGTACTTTTGGTGCTACTAGATTTATTGAAAATTAGTCAAAAGTTATGTCTTCTTAATTGCAACAATAATATGTCCAAAAAAAATCACACTATTTTGGTAGTAAAGAAAATTTTCTTGTAACTCAGAGTTTTCCGTTTCTAAGTTGTATGATAAACATAATATAAAAAAAATCACTTAACTTTTGAAATTCTTGATTCCTGTACTTGTACCAACGCACCAGTAAGAAAAGACGAGGCTAACAAAGAACTGAATGAACGTTACCAATCACCCCCGCCAGCTCAATTAAGACCATTAGCACATCTTTTAGCGAAACGGTTATTCCGCCACTCGTTTTTCATACATGAAACAAAAACTGCTTCACCAGAAGGATGAACCCGATAGTGAAAGTGAGATAAGCGGAGATATTGCACACCGCCGCATATTGCCTCAAGTGCCTGCTGGACATGGTTCGCTTCCTCCCCAACAATGCCAATGCTGCTCTCTATTTCGTACCTTTTGCTAGAAGCTGTTCTAGCCCATTAATGTGGTTTTGTCCGGGCGAGGGTACATCCTCTGGGTCTAGTGGTCAACGCGAGTGCTCGAGCAAAAAATAATCCCGGGGTCTCCTTAAGTGATATATTGGAATAAGTTGGTGCCTACGGTATTGTGGTTTAATGATTTGGGATTTTGGGAGCATGGCTGTGATATTCAGAGGTTAGTGTAAGTTTCGTATAATGATTTCAGTATTATAAAGCTATAATTGGTAAAAAAGGTATATAAAAAATTTGTTATAGTCATCGGTTGAATTACATTACCTTTGTTGATACAAACTATTTAGAAGAACAAATTCTTGATCGTTCTGAAAATAGCATTGAAAAAACTCCAATTCAGATTCTTGAGAACGAAAATTGTTCATGTTTCAAGAATAAATACTCCAGTATTGACGTATTAACGTCTGCGTTAACATTCTCCTTACCTCCAAATTAGTTTTTGTATTTGAGAAATGTCAGATTAAGTCTCTATAGTGGGAAGATGATTATTGAAAAGAAATCAAACTCATACACTTGTAAAGGCTTTTTACAAAGAGATTTTTAAAGTAGCTTTGGTAAACTTGTGATTGCAATGTTCTTTGAAGGGTCCAAACCAATGGAAGTTATTGGATATTGCAATACTTTAAATTTCAAAGCGTGTTTTGTGGTGTTCAGTTTGATGGGGTATTAGCGACGTTGGAAGTTTGCCAATAAAACATTAATAGAAACAATGCAAGTTTGATTAAAGTCCACATAGAAGTTTTTTTTGTGAAAGGACAAGGTGAGGTTTGTGGACAAACAATTCGTATTACATATTTAATGACTTTTCTTTATATAAATACTCCAACTACGACCCACGAGCACCAACTATCTGAAATTTTTTTTACGTGTATGCCCATACACTTCTTATTTGCTAATAATACAAATAATAATCAAATAATTTTATTTACTAGACAAAAATATGCAGTTAGAGAAATACAAAAACTCAGCCAATAAAATATCACTCATTATTTATGTATCTGTGTTTTCTTCCTTGACAATTGTTTGCAGAAATTTGCTAATGCCGAATAACACATGAGATTTAAGAGTTTCATCAGTTAACATGGATCTGTAGACATTTTTGGTATATTTAATTTTTCACAAAGTTTTTGCACAGAAAATTTATGAACTATGTAAAATCAGTGGAAGACTCCTAAAATTAAAGAAAAGCATTTTTACAAATATTTTATATATATTTATTTAAGGTTTTCGGATAATTCTTAAAAATGTTGATGTCTTTTGTAATTGATCTGAAAAACGAGATTCGAAAATATTTAACTCACACAAAGCTTACATTGCAAAATCAACGGGAACTGAAATCGGAGTTTGCTGACTGAATATTTGACGTGACATTAAAATGCGTGAAATGTTACAATCAATTGAGATTGAAACTCCATTTTCTCTTGAAACGACTTGATATGAGTGTACCAATCAGGTAGAAACTGAAAAAGTGCTTCCATATTCTTACAATTAGATTTATGACCAGTCATTACTTAAACTCTCTCGAAAAGAGACGATTTTTTTTCAACAAAATTTCGACGTTCGCTCGCGGTAAAAAAAATCGCGTTAGAAGCTTTCCTCCGCTAATTACGCATAGTGTAGGACGATATGGTTATTTTCTTCAACCTCTTCAATCAACTTGCGAAATTGGCCACAACTGAGGGTATGTGTCTTCGTAATATCTTCATTGATACAACAGACTTCAAAAATATTGTCATGTCCAGGCCTTTTCCGCATAAGGCTTGTTATTGAATGATGCAATGTACAACTAACGGTTTTGAACCGCCATCGTTTTGCCTTTAATACTTTATTCGTTCCACGTACACTAGGTGTTGACCCGCTCGATTTTGTGGAAGACTCAGTGATCACATTTTAGCCAAAATGTTTGGAAACCCCTGATATAAATTTTCTTAGAATTATACAAGGTGGATCTTAAACGCTTACATACATTTTAAACAGCGGTATAGTTTACTGAATAGAACATGTAATAGTTTTTCTATCGAAAAAAATTGGGAATAAAAAGTCAAATGTGAACACATAGGTAACCTAATTTTTTTAATAGAAAACTTGTTGAGAGTCGCTGACTTTCCTCTGGCGGTTACGACTAGCATAGATCAGACTCTAGCTGTAACTTGGAGGGAAATGGTCATAAAAGAGAAAATAAAAAAAAGGAAATTGAAGCTTTAAGTTTTCAGATTTGAAGTTTAAAAATTTTTAGCATGAATAGTCTTTGAGTAATTATAAGAAAATAAAATTTTTACTTTTCTTTAATGGATTTTTTTTGGTAATGTCACCATAACGCTCTTTTAGTTAATTTAATTATCTTCAATTTAAGCGGTTCCGGAGCCCTGTACGATGATTTAACTTTGGCAATCAATTACAGAAAATTCAAGCAGGGTTTTGAAAGTCGTAATTATTGATTTTTGATAAAAAAAAATTTCGAAGTTGAAAATGTTTAGAAAAAAGGTAAAAAATTGCATAATTAGGGATATTTGAATAACTTGGCATAACTTTGCAAATAATGAATAAACTAAGGATATTGATTGTAACTTTTCAACCTCAAAGTGTCCTAAAGAAACCTTGATAATTTCAAAACACTGCGATTTTTTTCTTAGTGCCTGGAATGTTTAAATTTATTATTTTTGCTGAAAATCAATAAGTTATTTTTCACTTTTTATTCATGGTTTTAAGTTAAAAATGTTTTTAATAATTCATATTTTCACCGAAAAACGTCCATTATTTCAAAAAAAATGAAAAAAGAAAAAAATTTCAAAAATTATTTTTTTCAAGTTTTTTTTAACGTATCCAGCAGGTGATCTGAAGTAGAAGTTATGTGTTCACTATAGTATGTAATTTACTGAAATTGACTTTTTAAACGTTTTAGAGTCAGATTTAACATGTAGTATGAAACAAAAAGATTTAGGTGTTATTCTGTCTAAAATTCTCCATGCATTGTCAAATGACTGCCTTTCACGCAGACAGCGGTTCTCAAAATATGCATGTAAAGGGACAGATTGAATAAAAAATTAATCCGTAAATATTTGTACTTTTCTAAAATAACTTTCTCTGGGCTCATTTTGTCGTGAATTATATCCGTACGTACGTACACATTCAGTGTATTTATATGTCCTAATTTATTGAAGATTAAGTCTATGACTACTGATTGTCTAACCAACTAGAAGAGATAATCTGTTAAACGCCGTGACAAAGTCCTGCTTTACATGCCGAACAGTACGAAATCCTCACCAACTACTCTAGTTTGTACGCTGTCGAACAGGAAACATTAAGGCTTCCTATACGGAGACATGTGGATCACTTCCTACGGCGACTGCGATCACCTGTGGTTACCGTTTAGTAATTATTATCATTATCGGCGATAAATAAAGTGTGAGAAACGAGAGGCAGGTTGCGCGTATCCTGCCGTCCTCTCTCCTACGCTCCGAGAGTTGTCCCAGGTCTTGGCGGAAGAGCTTTTTTGCCGCTTGGCGGGTCGTTACGGGACCCGTAGTAAGGTTTAATTCATAATCGCCGGCTGGTTGGAGAATAGACGTCCTGCGATTTGTCAGCGATGCGACTTTTTCATCGAGATCCATAAATAATTGATGGAGGAAATCGGATTGTCGGTTTCCTCCGCGGACTGATTAATTAGCTAATAAGAGCCGGCAAATTAAGGCCTTTTAA